AAAAAAGTTTTCTCATTGATTTTGATACATTAGGAGAAATTCCTGATAACCAAAAACTGTTTTCACCAACAGTAAAGTACATTGACTAAGAACGCAAGTTTGTGTAAGTACTAAGTAACCTTTTCGATGTAAGTAATCTGTGCACTGCACACAATATGATGGAAGTTTATTGCGCAATGTATTTTTTCTTTTTTTGGTTACAAAATTTTCTTTAACAAACTGCAACTTTATTGGGGGCTGTGCTGTCTTCCTTAAAAGCGCGCTTAAAGAAGTACCAGAGTAACACCACGTTAGTGCGAAACAAGGCTAGACGAGACTGCTTCGACATAGGGAGATTCTGTTCATTAAAAACAGAGACTTCACCAATGCTCTCTCAGCTTCGCACATGGCACCAGGAGAGTAACCTCGTTGGGGTTCAGGTCAGCGTGCGTGCACTTCGAAAACACCGTGTCACGTAAGTCGGTGAGTGTGACGTTGCCTGAAGCTATGATGTCAAAATAGCACTTCTCAGAGCATTTGCTAAGTGTGTTTTGCACATACTGCTTTCATGGAGGGCAATTTGGCAATGCTCATCAAAATGGTAAATGCCTTTGACCTAGCAATCTCACATCCCGATTTATTTCCTAGGCATTTTCCTACATGTTTGGCAAACAGATTGCAGCATTATTTGAAATCACACACACAGACGGTCAAAAACAGTTTAAATACCCATCAATAAGTTAAAAAAAACTATTGTCCCTTCATTCAATGGACTATCATATTGCCTTTAAAAAGAAAGCAATTTACTATTACCTTCACGAGCAATTTCACAGAAGGGGGCAAGGTCACAGAAGCAGAATAGGCAGGTATTTCTAGTGCCGACTAGGTAAAAGTAAAAGAGGAAGGGGGTCACTGGAGGGGTGCATTCTGGGAATGAGGAAGTCCATGGGCGAGCCAGTGCACTGGGTTTCTTTTCCGAAGGTTAAAATTCCCTATTCGGATTCTCCTTACATAGCGGCTGGTCTCTCCTGTCAACATGTCCAAAGTATGTGAGATGAAGTCTTGCCAACTTTGCTTCTAAAGAGTCTCTGGCTGTACGTTTTCCATTTCTATTTCTGCGTTGGCAGTCCGTGACAGTTCGAATACTCTTCACCAGTATCGTGATTCAAACGGATCGATTCTTCATTTCCCTTATTTAATGCGCATTGTCCCATTTAAGAATTATATCATTGTTGTTGATAGCTATATACTCACACATATTTGCATATACATGATACATATATGCACATACCGTACATACATACGTATGTAAAACAAGGCATTGAAAACAAAGGCAAAAGGAGCCAAGGCAGTTTTTATTTAACAACCGTGCTTTCTTCAGAGCAAGTACGACTTCTGAGGGCCAGGTATCAGACCATGAAGGTGGCAGACCCAATTTCATCCATGCTCCTATCTGTGTATCTTTGTACCCACCTCTCCACTCATCTGCTTCCCTGTCTGTCTGGCTCTGCCTCTCTCAGAATGAGAAGTGAGAGATCAGGCGGCTGCCATCCCGAGGACAGCCACACACTCGTTCGGTGACGTGAGAAATAAAGTCAGATTCTTTGTGACAATGGTGACGTCGGATTTGGCTGTTTTCAGCGACAGAGACAGACTGACACTTCCAATTATGTTACATGCAGATATTTCCATAAAGCAAGTGAGTTTGAGCCAAAGCTTCAAGGCTTTGTTGAAAACATGGTTAAAATGTGCTACTAGGTTAACAAAAGCAAAAACAAAACCTTTCATCAAAATTGTAACCCCGGAACCTAGATTAACCTTCACAGTGTTTAAATTTCCCTACCCTGTCCTGTGCATATTGAGCTAATCCAGATGTGGTCCATAAGAAAATGTAACAGGCGTAATTAAAAGTCATGTGAGAAATCTTAGTCAAGAGTCAATTGTGCGGCATTCCTCCTCAACACGGAGAAAGTGAATGAGTACGATATTTGCTTTCAACAAAATGGAAGGAGAACCGATTTGAAATGACCAAAGTATGATTATTAACTTGGAAGAATTTGAAAAGTTGACTAAACTTGACG